AAATGAAACCCAAAAAGAAAAAGAAAGCCAATCTTAGCCCCCTGAGAAATCCAAATGGGTAAGATGGGTATTTCTAGAATTTTTAGTTTTGGGGGGCATCTGTATCTTTTCAAATACTTCCTTGGGATTACAAACTTGTTTTAAATTTACAATTAAGCATCCTGACCCATGGCATTTCCCCAAACCGTTGTCTCTTTTATTTTTTTGAGACAGGGTCGTGGGGCGCAATGGTGCTATCATTGCTCACGGCAGCTTTGAACTCCTGGACTCAGGGGATCCTCCCACCTCATCCTCAAGTAGCTGGAACTCTAGGAACACACCATTGTGCCTGGCTTATTATATTTCTTCTAATCCATGTGTACCCTACAAACACAGGAAATGCTTGGTAAATGTTGATGTCCAGTTCTCAACCCTTTGCCTTCCTCAGTATCCTAGTGCCTCCAGTGTCCCACCCTTGGCCCCCTCATCAGAGTAAACACAAATCCAAAAAGCCTTTTCAGGCCCTGGGCCCACCCTTTAAGCTGGCTTTTTTTTTTTTCCTGGGTTCGTAAAGGGATTCCACTGGGAACTGACAAAACTTGCTCAAGCAAATACCGCTGTTCACATTTCTGATGGAGCACAGGGCCAAAAGCTTTGTGTTCTTAAAGGAAAATCTTTTCTTTGATTCAAATTATCCAATTATCTTTGATTTGATTCAAATTATCCGAAAGAAAAAAAATCATACTAAACTGCTTGGTTTCTCAGGTTTATTATGCCTTGCACCACCTAACACATAAGTATCCCTTATGAATGGAAACTGATTCAGAGGAAAGACAGAGTCCAAAAGTTTCTTACATTTACTCTACCACCTGCTAGGAAGAACACACATTTCAGCTTTTATTTTCAATGCAATATTAAGAAAATTTCTAAAGAAAATATTGAAAACATCTACTTTTACACAGAAATTAAGGGAAAATAAACATACTTCTAGCAGGAGTACCCCACAAAATAAGAAAATACTTGATAAGCATCACTTTTAAAAATGTATCATATAGGCCTTATAGGCCTTATTTATGTCAAGGGTTTGACACTTTGGGTCTGAAAAAAATTATCACTACAATGAACAAAAACAAAATATAAGCACTTTTCTAGAGAAGAGTTCTTTCTTCTTTTCCAAAGATCTTTGTACAACCTTAAGATGCTACATTGCTTTAAGGGTTTTTTTTTTTAATGGGACATTACCATTGCAGAACACAAATACAATTAAAACTAAATATATTAGTAGCATACCTGAAAAAAAAATGTTGAGACTAGTAGTTATCTTTAAGAAGTGAATTATATTGAAACACAAGTTACATTATTTGAGGCAGGGGAAATTATTGCTTTTCATTGAACAATAGCAACAAAAAACTGCTTGTTTTAGACTACAGTCTTCTAAAATCTCTTCCAGGTGTACATTCCAGGATGGAGGATACTCCCTTATCTATAAGCAATCCAGATGATTAAGGGATTATTTCCAAACACTTCTGCTTATTAACCCCTCCTCATCAGTGCTGAAGAACCAGAAGACATGTAAAAATACATTTTTAATGAACAGACATTTAGAAGTAAAGATGATTTGAGTTAATATGACTGTTAACTCTCAAGAATACACAGGAAATAGTGCTATTTGCTAAGTTGTATGTTCCAAACCAAAGAGTAGCAGGCTTTAGGAAGCCCATCTCCTTGCTTAGGTCTCAGTAATATTGCTGTGTCTGATACTTTACAAAAAGCATGAATCTCCAGTAGCGGAAGTAAGTGCTACTCAGCTAGAGAGGGAAGGGCTTTCCACACGGAGCCAGCTGACTTCTTCAGATCCTACTGCTGCATTTCTTACATTAATACCCACACTGGAGATGGCACAAAATGGAGATTTTAGCACCGTGTTCACCTGCTTTTGAGAAAAAAAAAAAAGTGTACACCTTTCATATGTCCTAACTGGCAAAGGCTTTCCTCCTCTATAATCTACTGATAATTTAACAGGTTTTTTTGTTCTTAACCCATGGAAAACAATTCTAGTCACTGCCAGAGGTAAGCGCGGGCAAGCCAAGGAGAAAGCAGCCTTAGGTGCACAGAGTTAAAAAAAAAAGATCAGCCAGCCAGTTTCATCTATGAATTCTGTCCACATGCCCCTCCCCCCTTTTAGAATTTCAAGACAAAGGACGTTTATTTAAACGTGGTAAACGCTGAAAATTCCTAGAAAGCCTGTGTAAGAGTTGACACATATTCAACGGATGCCATCATTTCAGGGTCATGGCCTGCCAAATCTGGCCAAGAGGAATTCAGTATTCCTCAGTAAGGTGGCATTGGACAGACTCCTCTCTGAGAACTTATCTACTGCAAAGGTAAGGCAGCTGTGTTGTCTCTACATACTACAGGGCCCTCCCAATCTTAGGCACTGGGCATAATAATGACAAAAGTCAAGATTTAGGGTTCAGTTCCAGCTGATTTTATTTCCTTCTCAAAAAAAGTTATTTACAGAAGGTATATATCAACAATCTGACAGGCAGTGAACTTGACATGATTAGCTGGCATGATTTTTTTCTTTTTTTTTCCCCCATTGTTTTTGTGGCCTTGAATTTTAAGACAAATATTCTACACGGCATATTGCACAGGATGGATGGCAAAAAAAAGTTTAAAAACAAAAACCCTTAACGGAACTGCCTTAAAAAGGCAGACGTCCTAGTGCCTGTCATGTTATATTAAACATACATACACACAATCTTTTTGCTTATTATAATACAGACTTAAATGTACAAAGATGTTTTCCACTTTTTTCAATCTTTAAACACAACAGCTATAAACCTGAACACATATGCTATCATCATGCCATAAGACTAAAACAATTATATTTAGCGACAAGTAGAAAGGATTAAATAGTCAAATACAAGAATGAAAAACGCAGTACATAGTGTCGCGAACTCAAATCGGCATTTAGATAGATCCAGTGGTTTAAACGGCACGTTTTTGCTTATAAAAAAAGTGCAAAAAAGATGTGGTTTACAAGTTAAAGCTACAGGATCCCTTTTTGCTGTAAGTGCACCAGTTTTAAAGCCTCTGGACAGAACAGTATTTCGTTTAAAAATGTGTCTTTCTTAAAAGCATTCAGTGTTTGGCTCATTCTCCTCCCCCTTTCGCGAGACTGAGGTCAGAGGGTGGACACTGGTGGCAGGTTAAGGGATACTGTCACTTTAAGAAGCCTGCAGATTGAAGTGTAAACATGGAGAAATTAGGGGCTGATTTTTTAAACTGTGTGAGATATTAACCAGCCGCCCTATATAAAATCAGGAAATCCAAACAGCGATTTACACCGATTAACACCCCCTTTATATATTTTTTACAAAAATACACTGAGAAAATAATCAAACGTTTTCATCTCTCTTGTCTTTTTTTGTTTTTTAAAAGTGTCAAAAGTCTACATTTAAATATAAAAAATTAAAAGTTAAAACTCTAGCCCTTCAGTGAAGGAGACGTAAAATGGCGTGGGTAACAACAACTACCAAAAAAAAAAAAAAAAAAAGAAAGAAAGAAAGAAAAAAAGAAAAGGAAGGAAGGAAGAAAGGAAGTAAAAGAAAGAAAACGAAAGAAAGGAAAGAAAACAGGGACAAAATAAGAAAAAAAAAAATGTTTGGCCAGTATAAATACGTCCACATATAAAATGGCATCTGATTACATTTACAAGGAAAAAAATACGAGGATGGAGCATCGGTGAGGGAAAAAAACACGTCTTCTCATTTACACCTATAAGGAATAAACACATACACACTGAGAAAAAATTTGGTCCTGAATTGTTTTTTTAAAGTCCAGCACAGATTTGAGTTGCGTTTGAATCCTTTAAAGAGTTAAGAATGAAAAAAAGCTGGTGATAATTTTGTTGTAGGAATCAAACATAGCGCCATCTATCTGCTTTTTATATTATCCTACACTATTTTAAAAACTGCTCAACAGTCTTATACAGAAATCTTTAAAAGATAGACAGGATAACATGCTATATTAACCCCACCAGTGAAATAATCCAACACCATCACGATTCCGATTAAGAGAAGAAAAAGCCTTTTTTTTTTTCCCCCGAAACCACTCGCCCTCCACTGCCCCCGTACCACATCCAACAGTCTCCTCTCCTCCGCGCCTCCGGGTCCGGGAAGTCTCACCTCACGGATTTCCTACAGAAAGAAGGCGGCGAGGCCCAGGGGCCGCCGCGGCCTCTCCCGAACGTGCGAATCCGTCCCGGTTTGATCGTGCGGCCCTTCCAGCTCGCGTCCTTCTCCGCCCCCGCCCCTGGCTGGCCGGTGCGGCTTCCAGCTCGGCTCTCGGGTCATCGCCCAGCGCCGGCCACTCTGGCTGGCCTCCTCCCCTCGACATCTCCTCCTTCGGCTCTGGCAGGGGCAAGGGCACAAAGGAAAGGGGGGGGGGAGAAAAGAAAAAGAAAAAAAAGCCCAAACGGGAATTCGCCAGCGCGGAGTCTCTCGGCCCCAGCGCTCCCCCCAGACATCTGCCCTCCGCCAAATTCATCACCCCGGAACCTTCGGCCTTCGGGATGGCCCTGAAGCGGGGGCGGGGGGCGCTGGGTCCCCCCCCCTTGGCCAAGAAGCAAAACCGAGCACAACAAAGCCAGCAAGGCGGCGACGCGAGAGGGGCGAGATTCCTTCGGTCTCTAGAAAACGGACTGGGCTTCTTGCTGGGGGCGCAGACCAGTCCGGAAGCTCGTTGGAAGGGGAGGGGGTCTCTTCCAGCAAAGGGGAGGAAACTCGAAGTAGCTTTTCTTGCCATCAACAACAACATCAACAACAACGACAAAAGGTCGCCCCTGTCTGCCCTCCGCCTCCTCCGCGTCCCTCCGACAGGGCCGAGCGGGCCCCCGGCCCGGGGAGGTGGGGGCTGGGCGCGCGGGTGGAAACCCCGCCACGCTCCTCTCCGACGACGGGGACGCGGCCGAAGCCAGCTCTGCTCACTTTTTTTTTCCTTTTTTTTTTTGTTTCGTCTTTCCCTTTTCTCTTTCGCCTCTTCCTCCGTTTTCTTCTTCTCCTTCTCCCTCCTTCTCCTTCTTTCCTCCTCTCCCGCCCCGGCCCTTCGTCTCCCTGCCGAGCGCCCTTCAGTAGGTGAAGACCAGGTTGGAGATGCTGGACTCGAGCCAGTCTCCCGAGATCATCTCGCTCACCTCGGGCGTGCAGTAGTCCGGGAACTCGAAGTGCGAGCCGGAGCCGGGCTCCAGGTTAAAATCCAGGTCCCGGTCCAGCGCCGACGACGAGCTGAAACTGCCCAGGGACATGCTCTCAAAGTTTGAGCCGGGGTGCAGGTCGAGCAGCTCGTCTTCGAACTCGTCGTCGGAGGACGAGGAGCCCGCGGAGGAGGAGGCGGAGGAGGAGGAGTGCGACGAGGCCGAGGAGGACGCGTGCGAGGGCGCGCTGGACGGGG